CAAAAATGGTAACAGACCTGCTTATTTATTCGGCTGTTCGAGGAAGATTTGGGCTTTCGCTGTCTTACTTCAAAGTTCCAATAGCTATTCAGGTGCTCGTTTTCCAAATTATCAGTGATCAGGCATTCCAATTGACTAAAACTAGTGTTTCAATAAAAATCATAACTGTAGTTATTTGGTATCGTAGTCTGTGAGAAAATGTAATTTTTTACGGATTCAAACCTGTTATTTAAGAAATATTTTGTTGCTAGTGTCATAAATGCAAACTAAGCCCATAACAAACGAATATCTCGGGGGATTAAGCTGAGTTTTGATGTAAGTTTCGAGACAGCTGCTCTCTAGGTTTATTACCCCACATTAAGTCTGTCTTTTTATTATATTTCTCTCTCGCTATTTTTTTCAACAAAGTGCTGGATTCAATTTGCTTTCTTTCTTCGGCGGACGATTGGTATAATACGAATAGAACAGAAAGAGGGGAAATGTTTTTGATATCATCCATGCCCATTTATTTTGCAAAGTGAATGATAGTACGCCCCATATAACTTCTATATGTTCAGTAGCAAACCCATTATACTGACCTATATTTCGCTCGGTATTTCATCGAATGGACGCCACTGTGTTGTAACAATATCTTATCCGGCTTTGTGTTGACTAGCGTTTTTATTGACCGGCACGAGAATCGAGTGCGGTTCGCACAGACCGGCGCTTCCCACGGCACTTTCCCACCAGCCAGACAGGTTCCTGAGGGAACCCGAGGTCGTTCCCAGGATTTATTCGCATCGCCCAAATCGACGAGCATTTCCTCGAATTATCACACAGGGTTAAACGTCTTTTAAATCGATCCCAAACTGTTTCCAGGTATTAACTTTAAAGAACTTGCATGTGAAACATGCCATCTTAAGCATTACGAAACTAGAGTATTGGAAATACCACGTAAATGTTATCATTCCTCTTTGTCAGCAAAAAGGAGAAGAGCCATAATCTATGTTTATATTCAGAGAATTCGACTCGTAATTTTGAGTCGCTGATCTAAGCATAAATGGTTAAGCTCAACCGAATTATATCGATGAATTTCAGTCTAATAAGAGAGCCTTAAAGAACTCGTTGTATCGACAACATAATAAAATACGTTCGGCTTGTGTTGAGATAAATACATAGTTATTTTATTTCAATGCCCTTTTCCCTATTAATAATCTAATATAGAGTTTAACGAGCGAAGCAAAAAAAAATTTGAAGAAAAATGGCCAGAATTTGTCATGAAGATATTTAAAAAATCAAGAAGTGTGGACTTATAACTTCTTGATTTTTTTACTTCATGACTATTTAAATATTTAATTGTTACTTGGAAGAACCACTTTTCCTAGAGACATTAGTTGTTTGTTGGGGTGAGTAAATAATTCAATTATCTTTGGCTTTTACAAATAAAGATTAAGCCGATTCTCAAGCAGTGAAAAGTAAAATTTCAAGGTTTTTTCATGCAAATAGATGTTACTTCTTTGCTTGCAAAACGTTTTATCATGTTTGAAATGAGGAGCCAAATAATTCCTTTCCACCCCAAAATCTTCTTGAGACATGAAATGATTCGGGAATTGAAAAATTGCTATCTGTGTTTTTACCTTCGGCCCTTTCTTTACCACTGAGGCACATTGTAAATTTAGCTCGGATTTCAATTTCGCAAAAATTTTACGAACTTACCTTTTCAAGTACCTAAGTATCTCCACAATAACCACATAAACAACGAAAAAGTTCCGAGAAAAATATAGAATCAGTCTTGCAAAGAATCGTCAAATCAACCCCCCGATTCACACAAACTTCGAATGGTGAAAGAAATCCAGATTTCCGCCAAAAAATAAACCTGCATAGGTATCATATATCATATCAACCAACAACTCTGCATATAATTTGACTGGCTTACTTTATTAGAGAAAATTAGCTCAAGCTGCTTTTTTCAATTCTTTGACACGCATTTTCTAAACACCAACTCGTAATCACCGTGTGGTTTCCTCTATAATTATTTATAACAAATTAAACGCTAGTTTCTGTTGCTGGGTCCTAGCTATACGTCCAGATGAGAAGATGAGTTGAATAATTTTTCATATGCTGAAAATCTGGACCAACTTTAATGATTGGCTAGATATTGATTGAGACCACGTATTTCCAACAAACTTCCCTCCTTCGAATGAGTAACAATTTTGCAGACAAACACGACTTTTCATTACTGCTCAAAAATGGATTTTTTTTCGACATTAACTCTAAACTACATATATCATATTAAGAACCAAATATTGTACTAACTGCTATTGTAATAACAAATAGCGTAATTATTCAATGCTTCTCTCTTATTGCTAAGAAATCAATGGCAATACTATTATGCTCTGTTACTCTGTTATCCTGCATTATTCTCGGGCACCCGGTACAGAGGAAGTAAACAAAAGTATGAATTAAATGTACGACACGACCTCGACGGTTTTAAAAGGATATCCTACAATTAAAGTAAAATATTAATGAACCAACGCGTTTCTTTTTACAAAGAAGATTGCTGTATTTTAACGACAATCATCTTCACTTATGTAAGAGGGATTCCGTCAATTCCGTGAATCCATCCATATTAATCTCTGACTGGATGTTTGTGTGTAATTGGAGGAAATGCTGTAATAATCAGGAAATTGCATTACGAGCAAGAACAGTTATTATTACTAAAATACAGGGTGTCCTAAGTAAACAAAGTAACAGTAGTAAGTAACAAAAGTAACAGATAATTAGAAGGTAATAGATAATTTTACAAAATATACTTCTTCAACCATTACACCACTACCATACAAAATTACTTTCAAAGTTAATAACATTTATACAGACATTGTTTTCTTCTGTGGAATATAAAAGCAAAAGATTGAAATATGTTTCTATTGAAATTGAAATTATGTTTGTCATAAAACCTTTATGATTAGACAATTATAGAGAAAAGGAATATTAAAAAGTTTTATTTTTCAATTTAATCACACAAGACGAGTTAAGGGATTTTATTTTCGAATTGTTATATGTTCTGAACTAGTTTGTTTCTATTTCCAGTTAGAAGTCGATGGGCTCTAAATAAATAAATGACTAAGTAACGATATCGAGATTGGTTTCTTCTAATTCTTAGCAAGCTAAAAATACAGAAAATTTCACAAAATCGTCGGTTGATAGTAGAGTGAAAATTTAACGATTATTATGGTGCTTTTGAAATTTCATAATGCAAATAGAAAGACTTTTTAGCAGAGACTTAAAAAAAGTCATGGTTAGAATCTAGTTGTAGTAGGTATGTATAATTAGAATTCAACCTTTAATCACATGAGCTCCTATTGAATAAAGTTGTAAACTTTTACAGGTCCAAGTGAGATATTCCTCATTTTAAATGCTCAGATATTCTTTAGCCGCATTTATTAATATTATAATTACGTTTAATAGAAATAGAAATTCGACATCCAAACTTCGATATTTTTAAAAATCAGATAATTTTGAAAAAAAGCAAGAGAAGAGAATTTACTTTAATAAATTGTAAGTATAAACTTAAAATTTTTGCTATCATTGAGACATTGCTTTTCAGACATTTTTATTTCTAATTTTGTTGTAACTGCCCACTTTAAGCAAAAATGTCGCCTAGCATTTACAGCACGTTCTGATTGGTCTGACGGTGATTTAATGTTTCTCTATACTTAGCATTCATATTATTTGCAATAGAAGCCAATTAAAGCTCTGTCTCTAACCGTTTTGACGATTTCAAAACTGTCGTTAACCAAACACCAACTGAAATAGTTAGAATCAAACGTTATTGAATGTTGAGTTAATAAAGTAACGGAGAATTTTCGTGAATTCCTTGATTGCAATTATCTGCCAGTTTGAAGAACGAAGGAACGTTTTATTTGTGCTACAATGTAAAACTATCCTTCTGGGTGGTTCTAATGTTGCGCCAAATGCTTTCACATTTCCTTTTTCAGCGATTTCCTGGGAACCATTTAATTATAAAATCAAATCAAGCAAAAATTGACGTCACATGATAGATATATGAATGCACTCATATAAGTGCTCCTCGCTTTCATCTCACCCATTACACATGATAAATACGCTTAAATGGTTATTATTAATACTTACGGCTTAGTAAGGCGATTGGAATGTACTGGGAGGCGACCGACCATTGTCTGTAACAGAAAATATTTCAATAAATAACGGATGATCGTCTAACAATGGCAATGAAGTGTATATATGTACCAGTGCGTTGTTTTTTTTAATTTTATTTATTTGGCAACAACAAAGAATAATGCGATGGCATCAAAGTTGCAAAATTACTTTTCAATGAATCAACTCACATGTGTAGGTGAATAAAACTACATGCGTCACATCACAAATGCTACCAAGAAGAACAAAGTATTAAAATTCCACACAAAAATTACCATTGAGTGATTGAATCACCGTAAAGATTATATCCTTCATTAATGTATAATTTAACAAAAATAATAATAAAAAAACACAAATTTCCAAATAAATTAATTCACTTGAAAACCGTTTGGTTTCAACAATCGCCCTTAACCATGGCGCTAAGGTCGAAAATAGTGCAACTTACTAAACAACCACAACCAATATAATCGAATGCGTTCCCTTCTTAGAAAAGAAGTGGAAACCGTTTAAGCTGCGCCGTCTAAAAACGAAGCCTTTAACATTTTATAGTGCCGATAGTGACAGTGATTTAAATCTGAATAGTTTTACGAAAATAAGGCATAAAAGAGAGGAGCCAGACTGAAAGGAATTTCATTATAGCCCCTTTCTGAATACATTTGTCAGTTGGTGGACGAATCCAAAAATACGGAATGAGAATGTACGTTTTCGTTAGATTGAAAGATAACAGGGGAACTTATTTCGTTTAATTAACGTAAATGTTGACATTTTGCAAAAGCTTTAGTGAAATGGTATGAATTCAAATTCCAAACATGCAAATAGTTCTACCAAAAGGATGACAGGATGGCTCATTGGGTACCACCGGTTCAGCTCATAAATAAGCTGGATTCGCATTAGGTAATGCGTTTTTGTGTGAACAACTATGCAGTAAACTGACGGTAATTTATTTTAACAGCATATTTACATACAATACTATAATTATTTATCATAATGGTTGCATTGTTTGTTAAATGGAAGACCAATGAACAATTTTTGGCAATTTCATGCGATACAAGGAAAGAATGTTGCAGAAGCAGAACAGACCTGCATGCAAAACAGGAAAGCTGAAATTTATCTGTTCGACCAACATGCACATGACCAACATTAATTAATTTACTTTACGTGAACATTTGATTTGTAGAAAAAATGATACTTTGGTCTAATGCATAAAATTATACTATGGTTTAATGATTTGATTAATAAAATATAAAAGGACTGTATCCAATGTTTTCATTTTTTCTTTTGGTAGGTTGTTTTATTATAATTGCATGGATATATTGTCAGGCAGATATTTTAAACTTTAATCAAGGTGACTATGTATTAATTTTGAAAATTGGTTTCCTGCTTGTTTCGCGGTAAGCTTTTTTACATATTTTTTGTAGTTTTAAGTAATAAAACATAAATTCTCATAAATAATTTTACTACGTTTTCGGAAAATACATATTTTTCAATTATTTTAGGAGCAAATTGTTATACGTTTCATACAGATTTTTCTGATGTTACCTTCATTCCAAATTTCATACATATGTTAACAAATTTGCCCTGTCTTAAATACAGATGAAGCGTGGCGAAAACACGAAATTTGAGTGTAACTGTAAAGGTAATTAATGTTTTTAAAGCTTCATAAAAATTATCAATAAATCTACTTCACCCGAGCTAAACTAGTGCAGACTTCGCAAGTTTCTTTAAAATATTTCGAATAAACTTCTTCAAGAATGAAGATAATCTTTAAATATTAATGCTATTTATTAAAGTACACGCTAGTTTATTGAGAAGACCAAATGCGATTGATGAGCAGTTTTTTTAATTCAACGAAAAGAAAGCGGATTAAAAAGTGATTAATATTTCTTTAAAAAATTATGAAAAAACGTGATTAATATTATTCAATGTAAAGAACAACAAACACACATTTGATTAAGCGGAAGTTACGTGTATGAAACGTTAACGTAACATACTTATAAAGACAAATAACACCAAATGCTTATATGAATTATTAATAAATATATTAACCGACTAAGTGAAAAAAGCGATGCAAAACTTGACATTGAAAGGCAGTAATGAAAACGAATAATTGATTCCAGATGAAAAAATTAGAGGTTATTGAATAAAATAAAAATATTTGAACCCAAAACAGGAAAATAATTAACTGCTTTCTTGCAGTTAAATCGAAATTAGAAGAAATAAGTAAATTGGAGAGGATGAATCACTGTGAAATGTGATAATCATTGTCATTTAGGACTTTGAACGGGGTGCTTCTGAACGTATGAATGAAAAGCACTTTTGCAAAGATTAAAAAATTTACAGTTCAAAGAATCAAGAGAATAATACAGAAACAAATAATTTTCAGGACACTGTATGTAAACCATACTTAAATATCAAACAAACTCACTCACACAGAAACGCCATCCCAAAAATGAAGAGTTCTCAGATAAAAAATAAATCACATATATGGGCAAAGATATGGGAATAATTATTAATTAGTGAATATTAAATTGCTGCAAAATAAAGGAACCCAACCTATACAAAGTTATCACTTGGTCCCAAAGCATGAATTGTGAAGAACATAACAAATGGTTGAAATAAAAAAACTTCTATTGCGTGTTGAGATCAGAATCTAATAAAAATTGCAGATCATACCTTAAAAGACCATTAAAATAACTCAGAGGTGTACTGGCATCATCAAAGAAACGAAACGCACCAGAAGATCAGTCACCAACATTTACAGGTAAATCAAATGCGAAAAGTAAAGTGAAGAAGGTGCTATTTGAAAAAAACATCCCAAATTTAAAATTGGATGCCTTCATAACGGCTTTCGCTGATACAAATGGCAAAAAAATGAAACAAACCAAATTCTGGATGCAAAATTGAATGATTGGTAACGATCTCTGAACCATGCGAAGAATGTCAGATCATTCTTCACGTTTCAAGATTATTGCAACATATCGCTTCCTTATCGATGCAATCGCGTAATTCTATCAAATACCTCGAAAAGGCGAATAGCCGAGGTTCTTCTAAGTTCTCGTAGGCGCGCAGGTACTCACAAACCTCCATTGGGTCGGAATGTGAGTCGTGGGTGCGTGTTATGACCCCTGCGGGTCCATTTTAGATCACACGGTATAGCCTTTTAAGGTCTAGCGCCGCAAAAGTGCCGACAATACGGTCCAGCAGCCTATTTATGAAGGTGTTCGAATGTAACAATATATTTACCAGCACCGGGCACCAAAATTGAATTTTCAAAGTAAGACAATAGATAATTCATTTCAACTTGCAGGTTTATGACTACAGAAATTGAACTAAAAGATGACACCATTGAATATTTAAAGAGTGCAATTCAAGTCTAAATGCATGAAAATCGAGAAGAATCAAAATATTGTAAGGTGTTGCAAACTTACTATACATAAATTAAGCAAAAGTTAATTGTGCAACATTTTTAGATGATCCTAATCAGGAGATAAGTAATAAAAAAATTCTGCAATTTCGACCTTATTACCTGTGAAAATGTTTAAAGTGTGGCAAAGATTCAAATTGATGGCTTCTTCCGTGTTAATTATGTTAACTCTTGTAGCTTACTTTAAATGTAGAAATTTTGTCTTTGGCCAATTGTTTAAAATCGACGAAATCTCCTGCATCTGCGTTATGGTAACAACGAAAAATTACCATAATTTTCACCCCTTTTTGCGCTTTATTATTTGGGCAGAGAGTCACGATTGAAGCTAAGAAATTAATTCCTAGAATCATTTAAAATGTTTAAGTCGCAATGATCAGTTGAAGCAGTTAGTTATTTGTTTACCCTCTTCAATTGGTTTCTTTGAGCTGACATGAATTGTAAAAAGCAAGTCCTGTTGAATCCTGTTGAAGTTTATACGCGTTTGTAACGGACTCGCTTGGAATGGTACGAAAACAGCAAACGGATAAAGCCTTTGTAAGCATCAATTAACCCCACAACAAGCAACGATCAAAGGAAGTGAAACTCTATCAAGAAACAATGGTACTTTAAGATTAAACTCCAAACTGAGACTCTCATAGCCAATTTATGCAAATGGGGCTTGAGTAGGCACTTCGATGATGTTGAGGGCTTAATAATTTCTCCGGATTTATTATTGGGTCTTGTTACAAAATATTTGCTTTGACTTTAACAGGGATATTTGACTTTGGATATAAGTACTGTCGTTTTTTTTTTCAATTTTAATTCCCAGGAAAATACTGAAGTCCACTGCAATTCTTCCGGCTGTTATTCTATAAAGAATCATTAAGGTCGTAAATTTCTGCTTAAAATTACTTTTCATGTAAATAAATATTAAAACGAGAAACCGAAAATTCGGTTCATGCTTTTTTAAGTCGAAATCTGAAAAAATCTAAAGGACAAAAAGCAATTTTAAATTATTTCTTTAAAAACGGTTATTGCCTTAAGAACTAATAGGAAGAGAAAAATAACGAGAAAAGCGAAGAATACTTTTTTTGATTGTCTACAACTTTTTAAATTAATTTTCAAAATAATCCATTCATTCCTCAAACCACTGCATACGATGTTGGATCCTTAGTTGTTTTACTCAGGAAAATACTGAATGAAGCACACATTTATTTCGGCCCATTTATTCGGCAAAGTCGCAAATTTATGCCTAAAATTAATTTTACTGTTAATAAAAATAGATATTAAAACCAAGAATTTTAGCCATGCACAGTTCAAATGTTCAAAAAACATTTTATTGAACCCTGCCAGAAGCAATTTCAAATAATTTATTTAAAACCAGTTATTTGCTTAAGAACTAATAGGAAAAGAAATACGAAACATTAAGTATGATAAGAAAACTGACGAATATTATTTGTTTGTCTTTAGAACTTTTTGAACTGATTTTAGGAAATCACTCATTCCCCAAACCATTAACTTCATATAATTGGTTTTTTAAATGTTACTCAGGAAAATATGTACTGAACCACACAATATTTCATTCGGCTCTTTCATTCTGCAAAGTTTTATTAAAATCGC